ACAAATACATAGAATATTGTAACAAATTTGATTATAATTTTAACTAATACCAATAATACATTTATTGTTTTAATATCTCATTATTCAAAAGCACATATAAAATGTCATCGACCTAACTTCTACAGTTTATAATCTCAATAGGGACATTATAAACTGGTTTCTTTTAACACTTACAAGTCCCACCACTGGCTGATAGAGGCTCAGATAGCTTGACACAGACTTCGTCCACGTGAAATCTATACTATTATAATAAAGCGTAAACACACACTTCTTTGTTGCGTAAGATGTCAGCAATTACAGCATGTTTTTTTAATAATTCTTTTAATAAAAAGCCCTACACTACGTCAGGCTTTAGGCTATATATTTTTAAACTTTGGGGGTAAATATTTTGGATAAAAACCCTAATGTGGGAAAGAGACCATAAGTTGCTGCCAACATCAAGAAAAAAGATTGCTAAGGTTTGTCATGTCATGTCATTTTGACATTTGCTGTTGATAATTTGACAAATGTAAACAAAATCGCACGGGAATAGCCAGTTGATAATATTACTAGTGAGAATATAAACTCAGATTTATGTATAAAAATCTCTAATACACAATTATTGTCGTAGTCAAATAAAGTATTCATGAAAATGATTTTTTATTTATTTATATTGTAAACAATAGAAATGGCATATTTGTAGAATATGCCGCTATATGGCACAAACATAAAAAAATACATAAATACACTGTTCCAAAACAAAATATTCTACACTATTTCTGTATTACTTATTACAGGGTTATTGGTTATTTGGTTACAAATATTTTAAAGAGGAAATTAGTATTTTTGTATGTATTGAAATGACTCAAAAACTACTGAACCGATTTTTATAATTCTTTCACTATTAAAAAGCTACATTATCACAGACTGATATATGATATAACACTAGCTGTTGCACGCGACTTCGTTCAAGTGGAATTAAAAAATGTAACTCAGTTAATGTTACTTTTTAATGATACAAGATTTTTTTTAAATTGGCCCAGTTTTTGAGATATTACAATACATACAAAAATACTAATACTTCCTCTTTATAATAATAGTACAGATTTAAAAAAAATGACCACAATTTGAAGTGTTAAACCTACATACGCTTACTTCTGACATTTTTATCTGAACTTTTTGACCGACTTCCCAAAAGAAGGAGGTACTCAATTCGTCTGTATGTTTTTTTTGTGTGTGTTGCTTATAAAATTTTTTGTAGACAAATAATTTACTGGCATACGAAAACAGTAAAAATTTACCAAGACATGAATAATTTTAACCAAAAAGTTTGTTCAGTAAAAACTGTTACAAATAAGCATATGTAGAGGTATTTATTTAGTTTTTCATATCGGAAAACCAGATAAAAATTGAAAAAATGAGTAGTGCTTTCTAAAAATTTGATAGTGGAGACACTTAGGAAGGGGAGTTCTCTTTCTGTGCGTCCCCTCCACCATCAAAGGTAAAACGTAATTGCATTTGTCTTTATATATTTTCGCTATTTTAGCGAATTCAAATACCCGCTTGTTTAATAACGATATAAAAACAGTTTTAATTTCGATTTAAAAAAATTGCGCAAATTCCAAAACCAAGCACTTTACAAGTGAAAAAAATTTAAAAACATCTTAAATAAAATTTATGCCATTCCATACCTTATTCCATTATCTTAAGACTGTAAATTGCACTCATATCACCTATATTTTTTTTATTTTTCCAACAATATCACAGAAGCTGTAACTTTTAATACATAAAAAAACACATTTTTTGGTACACCCTATATAAAACTTCATTGAAGCCAAAAACTTAATTTATAAAAACTATACAAGGCAAGCTTATTCCTAAAACTACACTGAGAATAAGAAAAACCACATAAACTCTCAAATAAATAACAAATTCCTTTAAAAAAATCTTAAATTGATTTTTAAACTTTACATAAAAAATCATACAAAAGCATTACAAGCTATAACAAAACTACAATTCTGCAAAAACTTTAAAAAGTCAAAAACACACCTTTAATAAAACTGCGTCCACTTAAAGAAAACCTCTTTGAAGGCAAACCCATTAAAACCGCGTCCATTTAAAGGCAAAATTTGTTATTCGGCGTCTATTTTTACAATCGTATCCATTTCCAACCGCGTCCATTTTAAGTAAATTATATTCACTTCTAGGCAAACCGCGTCCACTTAAAAGAAACTTTTGAAGACAAATCCTAAAATACCGCGTCCATTCAGAGGCAATATAAAATTAAAATTCGGCGTCCATTTTTCAACCGTATCCATATATCCAACCGCGTCCATTCACAGGCAATATCAATTTTAAAATTCGGCGTCCATTTTTTAACCGTATCCATATATCCAACCGCGTCCATTTACAGGCAATATTAGTTTTAAAATTCGGCGTCTATTTTTCAACTGTATCCATATATTCAACCGCGTCCATTTACAGGCAATGTTAATTTCAAAATTCGGCGTCCATTTTTCAACCGCGTCCATTCCAAATTTCATCAACTTCTAGTCAAACCGCGTCCATTAGAAGTCCATCAAATCTATTGGCGTCCATTTTAAGTACAGACGGCGTCCAAAAGACTTGCGTCCAATTAGTTTATCCAGTATTTTGTATTGAGTTTCAGGAACTTTGTACATTAGGAGCGAGGTTTCGTAGAAGTGTTTTAGTGAAGTCGTAAGTGGCGAAGGAGACCCCCACGGCTATGGGGCCCTTCACCCAGTTCATACTCAGACCTTTAAAGAACCCGCGCCACCCCTCCACCCTGGGGGTGGCCGGAAATAAATATTAAAAACTTATTACATTTACTGACATAATAAACCCTTAGTTCCAGTCTACAGTATGGCGAGAAATTAATTAAAAAGATACTAAAAAAAGGCAAAAAAACAGGGTTTTTTGCAAAAAAGACTTTTAGGAATTAAGGGTTATGAATTTCAAAGTTAACTTTATGTGTTCATTCAATTCTAAAGACTTTTTATTAGGTGATAGCGCTAAGTACAGTTAGGATCTCTCGCGGTGTCAAAGTTTGTACATTTTGTGAAATGAAAATTTCAAATGTAGGTAATTATATTTTTAGCACATTTAAAACTATGTATCGGAAAAAATATTAAATCAAGAATTCATTTGAAAATTTAATTACTAGTTAATAAAAACCATTCATATTATATTGTCAACTAACTAAAAAAATCTAATTCTGTAAAAATCCAAAAACTATTAAAAAACATTATTTTTGTTACAAAACCTCCGTTGAATTAAATAAAAAAACATAACTAACTACTAAAAACAATTTTTTTTTTGGTACAAAAAGCACAGAGTTTTTTTCGTTTTTTTTCGTATTTACCTGTATATGTGTTGAAGGGTTTGCGACATATTAGGGCAGGGGTAGGTGGCGTCCTGGTTGCGGCGCGCTGTCTGCATGCGCCGGCGCACTATGTCCAGCGGGTAGGAGGCAGTCTGCGCCAGCGCGCCAGCGCACCCGCCCAGTAGAATATTCGTTAAACCCACCGCTGGACTGCCGAAGTACTCTACAATACCGGAATTACTTTAAAAACGTTCAAAAACGAACAAATGCTCAGATTAGATAGATGATTGTTACTGTATTAATAAACTGAAAATATAGTCTGAAAGATCACATTTTGGTATTCTTTTTTTTTAATTTCACGTACACGGAGGTAGAGGATACTCTGGAAAACATAGACTACTTACTTTTTTTAATTTCGAGGCAGACGGAATCGCTTGCAAAAGCTATACTATACTAATATTGTAAAGAGGAAAGATTTGTATTTTGGGTTAGAGTAACTCAAAAACTACTCGACCGATTTCAAAAATTCTTACACCATTAAAAAGCTACGTTATCGCTGAATAATACAGCCTTATTATTACCTTTTTTAAAACCTTTAAATGCGAAATAATAGATAAATGTTTGTTAGAGTTTGTATCCCAAACAGAACAGATCTCGGTAATTGTCATAAATATAGAGGATAGTCTGAAACACAGACTTACTTTTGTTTTTCTTTCAATTTCATGTGGACACAATCGCGTGCGAAAGTTAGTATATCATAAACCAAAAGTCGACATTTGTTATTTAACTTACCTGTATACCACCTCTTGAGCAGGTCGTAAGTAAAGAATGACACTCCAGCGTACGGTATCACACCCAGAATGGTGGCCGGATAACCCCTATACAAGGAATTTACTAAATTTATTCTACTAAACACATGTAATCTATACTATTATAATAAAGCGTATACGTTACTCTGTGGCGTATGCCGAACACAGTGTATTATTCAAAAATATTTCTTTCTTTAATAAAAAGCCATACATTTACGACACGCTATAGGATGTATTTTAACGCCTTCAAACTTAGGTGGTAAATCAATTGGGAAAAACCTTTATGTGAAATAGAAGTTAGGTTCAAACCTCTAGTGTCCAAGGAAACTTCGGTAATTAGTTTTTGTAACATCCTGTATAAGGAGAGAACGATTCACCTTACAGTAATTAATAAATTAATTAATAAAGTAATCTATCTATATTATTATAATAAAGCGTTAACACACACTTCTTTGTTGCCTAAGATGTCAGCAATCACAACATATTTTTGATTTTTTTGTAAATAAAAATCTCTACACTTGTGTCATGCTTTAGGCTATATTTTTCACGACATTAAATTTGGGGGGTAAATATTTTGGATAAAAACCTTAATGTGAGAAAGAGACCATAAGTTGCTGCCAACATCAAGAAAGCAAGATTGCTAAGGTTTGTCATGTCATGTCATTTGCAATTGAAAATTTGACACATGTAAACAATAAAATAAAGTTTTTATAATTCCATGCGGGTGCAATCGCATGGGGATAAATAACTGCATCTTAATTATTTTGTAAGAAAAAGTAAAAAAAAAATAATAACTATAACACCGCTAAAGTCCATAACTGTACGTACATATGTATATGAAATTTTTATACTCACCTATACAAGGTTCTTATTCCTTCTTCTCTTGCGACTTTAATA